ATATCTATGTAATTACTTGTACAAATTATCCAATAAAGATACGAGCAAGGCCTCACCTTAACACCAAAAAAAAAAAATATATATATATTTAAATATTCTTTGACCAATTTAACCAATACTAAACTCTTTGACCAACTGGCTAAATTGGTCAAACTGGTCTGGTCAAGCTTGACTATTGACCGGTCCATGTCAACTCTGGATATTATTTAGAGTGTTCCCAATTAAAAGGGCCAATTTTTATATATACAATATACCCTGTCAAAACTAGTGTGCATGGTGGACCGATTTTATATCAGTTTCAAGAAGGTATCAGATTTGAAAAAAATCTGAATATTGTATCACGTGATGTACGCGAATGATGATTAGTTGGTTAATAAATTTATTAGTATATACAAATAATAATTACAGGTCATGTCAATTAAATGAGAATTATTTATTTTCTCATAATATTAAGGCAAAACCCAATATATCAGACATGTTTTAAAACATGATCTTAAGAATCAACCTGAGCAGCCATCAAATTTACTGTTATATGAGTAGCACCACCTGTTGTAATTGTAGCAACAGAATCAATCGCTATAGTCCTATTGTTATTGCAATAACCCTGCATTGTATATTTGAATTGTATATATTAAATCTAGATAGTGCTGCTCACATGGCAGTAAATTTGATGGCCGCCCTGGTCGATTCGATCTTAAATTTGTTTGATTTAGATTTATTAAAAAATGGTTTAATATATAATGATATAATTATGATTTGATTGCATAATTTAAATAAATTCAAAAAAAAATTGATCAAAATTCTTCAAAATAATGTCTTATATTTGTGGATTATCCTCATCAAAGAAGTCTTAGCTAAAAATTAAATTTAATTAATCAAAAGCAATATTTTTAGTTTTAGCAAAACTTTATTTCAGGCTTTGATATTTTAAAAAATATTTTAAAACAATAAAAAACATTTAAAAAACTGTTTAAAATGTTTTTTTTACTATCATTAGTGTAGGGGTGTTAGTGATTAAAACCAATTGGTCTTTTTTAATAAAACTAGTAGTTGGGGTTATTTGACCACATAAAAAAAAAAAATTAATCTGAACTATTAACATCTACACTGTAATATTGTCAAAAGATTCTACAGCAATAAATCTATTCTAATTAAGAAAAAATCATAAGACTTGAATTTTCTATATTAGCCCAATCTAATTTCTAATCTGGTCTTCTTTTTAGAATAGGCTTGGTAGCTTTGAAAGTCTTATCTATTTGAATTAAATATATATTTTATTTAATTTTTTAAAGAACACATATTCTATTACATATATATTAAATATAAGTAAAAAAATCTAAAAATAAATATGTACATAGATAAATAAAATTAACATCTGCCAATAGTTAAAAACTGATTTGAATGAAGTTGAGCCTTAGCTTTAAGCCACAGATTAAAGCTATTTGGCTTAAATATAACCTATTCCTGACAGAGTTGTAAATTATAGTAATTTATAATCTTATAGTAAGTAACTTACTAGTAACTTACCATGGTAACTTACTAGTAGCTTGCTATAGTAAGTTACTACTAATAACCCTAATTTCAAATTTAGCTCAAGGGCAAACTATTAATTTTCTTAGAGCAAGAATAAAGATAATTAAATTAAAAAAAGCTGTGTTAAGGCTATGTTATTGTGTAAAAAGTTTATTAGTATGTTTATTTAATATAAGAAAAGTTAAAACTTAGAAAAAATACTTTCTATTCTATATCTGGATGAATTAGCTATTATCTAAGAATCAGATTAGACTTAGAATATTTTGTTATTTTATTAAATTTATTAAAAAAAATTATAAGATTAATAAAGAATCACTTATTTTAAAATCAGTATAAAAGTTTAATTTATCTTGCTGTTTTTTTTGTAAATTTGCCCAAACTTTATATTCATTTCTATTAACATTTTCAAAAAACATAAGCAATTTTTATAATAAACAAAGAAAGATAATATGTGAGCATTACCAAATAAATTTGTCAATAACTCAAAAAAAATTTGCTAAATGAGCAAAAAAAGAATTCAATCTTACAAAGGCTCTGGCTTAAATCACAATATTAGATATTTTTTTAAAAAAAAAGAAGTGTTTAAAAAATGTTATTAAATAATCTTGGAATTAAAAAGTGCTATATTATTATGTTTTCTGAATTGGATACCACTTTAGCAAATTGGGTATTACTATATAAATATCGAGGCATATATCTAAGTAGTAATATAATTAAAGCCAAGAGTAAAAAGTTTGCAGATATGTTAACTATCTCTGAAAATGACCAATCTGAATTTTCAAATAGCTGGTTGTATTTTTTTTAGGAAAGACATAATTTTCATAAATTTAAATTACATAGTGAAAGTAGTTCTGCAGATGTTGAAGCTATTAATACAAGTCTTCCAACAATTATTAGTACTACTAATCGATATCTATAATATAGATAAAACAGGCTTGTTTTACTCTATAGCTTCTGACTATATAATTGCATCTTATCAAATTGAAGAATTAGAAAAAGACAAAATTAGAATCACAATTGCACTTATAGCTAATGCTGATAGTATCTACAAGCTTCAACTTTTTTTTATTGGGCATGCAAAAAAATCTAAATATTATTTTTTTTTTTGTTATAAAAAATCTTTGACAAAGGAAGATGTAATTAATCTAAATGTTTTAAAAAAAAAACTAGAGAACAACTTACTACTATAATAATTTAAATGTATGGATGACTGCTATATTTTTTTAGAAGTAGATAAAAAAATTAGATAATATAATAAAAGAATCAAACTGCTATATTCTTCTTATTCTTGACCAGGTCTCTACACATGTTGTTGGTTCTCTTTCTTTTTCTAACATGGAAGTTTTTTTTTTTACTATTCAAATAACATCAAAAATTAAATCTATAGATACTAGCATTATCACATTATTCAAGCTCCATTATTGTCACCTACAACTTCAATATTCAATTAATTTAGATAAAGCTAGTGAAAATGATATTTATAAGGTTGATTAGTTGCAAGGCATAAGATAGGCAAAAATTGCTTGGAATGAGATATCTTCTAAGACAATTAAACATTGTTAGGCCTATATAAAAAGTGTAATACTACATGATAAAGCTGGATTACCTATTTCTGTTTCTCCTATTACTAATGATTCTGAAATTGTAGAAGAAAACCCAGTTGAAGCAGAAGAACTAGTTGAAAAACTTCAACAGCAAATCAATGTACTGTATATTCATAGTTCAATATCTATTGAAAACTGGTTAAATCCTGAAAGTAAATATGAAGTGCACTAGCAGTTTACTGATAAAGACTTTGTTCAAAGTGCTACAAAAATAGAACAAGAGAAAGAAGAAGAAGTAGAGATCATAGAACCAACTCTAACTACAAAAGAAAAGTTAGCTATTTTGCATAATGTATTAAAAATTGTTACTGAGATAGTTGACAATGGTGGTGCAATATTAAAGTTTTTTTGCAAAATACAATCTTATCTTCATGAAGAGATTTGAAGTGAACAAAGTAAAAACCAGATCTATATATACTTAATTACTTTTTTTAAAGTTTACTTTTCTAATAATCTAAATAAATAAATAATTATAAGCAGAATGATAAAATAATAATTTGTAAATCAAATTCTTTGATTTTACAGTATATACAATTAAAAAAAAATTGTCAAGCTGCACTTATATTAAAGCAGCTAGTTAGTAATAATCTTGAAATATAAATTTGACATATTTGTAATTAGATATTGATCTTAAAGCTTCACTTTGCAACTTTTTAAAAAAATTAATAATCAGTAAGATAAAAATTTTACTCTAAAAATATTATTTTTAATATATTAATATATTAAATTTATTTATTTTATCAAAAATAATACTTTACATATATTGGCTACATGTTCATTCACATAATATTACCTTGTTTTCAAACTTGATATCTCATTTTTTAAGTATCGATTATCAAAAATGATAGTTTATCAAGTTGGGATTATGAAATAGCTATAGTAGACCATTTTATACCAATTATAAGAAGTTATTAATTTTGGCAGGTTCAGTTTTGACAGGGTATACTATACTTTATTTCAAGATAATTAAGTTTAATTATTTGTTTTGATTTTTGTACTGATCCAAGATTAATCAAATTTTATGATTTTGATTAGTTAATGGCAACAGGTAACTATTAGATAATCCTGTGATATGCTTGGCTTTAGGCAGCCTTATGTAATTTTCTTTTATATTCTTTATTTTTTATTATACAAATTGACTTTCATTTATAATTAAAAAATATTTATCATATCAAAATTTATATAAATCTAATAAAAACTTATTTTTTAAAAAACTATAAAAATGAGCCTTTTTAATTAGAAACATTATATATATATATATTATATATATATATATTTATTTATTTATTTATATTTAGTGAGAGCTTTTATCAGAGCTTCAACAGGTTTTATTCTTTGTATTTTGTCAGGAGTTTCATCCTTTGTTATTATGTGGAGAAGGTTTTGTCTAAATTATATGCATCAATTTGAATTTATTATACCAAAATAGAGATAGTAGTTGAATTTGGATATATATTTATATTCAGATTAGTCCAGATTTTAAATAAATCTAGATTTAATTTTTTGAATATCTGTATCTAGATATAATATAAATCCAGATATAATATATAAATTTGGATAGAAATAAATTTGAATAGAAAATATAAATCCAGATAGAAAATATAAATCTAGATAGAAAATAAATCTGAATAGAAAATAAATCTAGATAGAAAATAAATCTGAATAGAAAATATAAATCTGGTAGAAAATAAATCTGGATCGAAAATAAATTTAGATAAAATATAAATCCAGATATATATTTGCATCAAGATATATATTTATATCTGGATATATATTTATATCTGGATATGAGAGCTATTATTATAATTCCTAAGACACTTTTAAAAATTTGCTGATAATTTTTTAGTTGATCTAGTTAAGTTATTAATTTGGCATGATCTATATAATTAAATAAGCTATTTTTATATTATACGTATAATGATTGTCATAACAATAATATTAAATTTTAATTGAATACTTGTTTAAAAATATTTGATGTGCTTTAGTTTGTACAAAAATTTATAGAAATAACTAGTTATGTCACCAATAAATCTTAACAAGAAGGAATTAAATAACAAGTATATTATTTGAACAAGTATTATTATTAAAAAAAGTTAAATATGATTGACTGGTTTAAAAATGAATCTTGGATTAAGATTTCAAGCAACTGAGATATTATTAATATTTGTTGAAAATCATAAAGAATTATGATAAATAAAATCAAAGTAAAAAATTTTATATATTTATATTTATTTATATATTTTTGTAACAAAAAATAATTAAAAATAAATAAATACTTTTATTTGAAAGAAAATGTATCTTGCCAAAAAATAAGGATTGAAATTTGGTTTGATTTTTTAAAAATAAATTTTTCATCTTCAGCAAAAAATGAAAATTAATTAGAAATGAATAAATGATTCATTTGAACGAAAATGAATCTTGCCAAAGAAAGAATAAGAATTGAAGTTTTATGCAATTTTTTAAAAACTAATTTTAATCAAAATATAATTAGATCTTGGCAAAAAAAATTTATACAAATTTTTAAAACTAAATTATTGTCAAAAAATAATTAGGGAAAACCCATAAATCCCTAGTACAAAAATTTTTAAAATTTCTAAAATACAAAAATGCAATTTACATTTAATTTTATTAAGTAACCATACTATTTAGCTCTAAATAAAA